TGATTTTTATGAAGTGGCATAAGAGTATGCAGCAAAAGAATAAATAAATATTAACATTAATCCAAGAATTGATTGTCTTGCTTTTACATAATTTTTCCTTTAGCAGAAATTTGTCTTTTTTAAGCTAAAAGGAAATTGCTCAAATATCGCTTAAGTAAGCTATTAATTAAACGTTACAATGCCTTTTATTTTAGAATTTGTATTCTCAAATAGCAGAGTTTTGTGAAAAAAGTATACTTACTTCTGTATGTTATATTATTTGGCTCTATTGTAGAAGATGAGAATAATTTAATGTAACATTTTTATCAATAAATTATTCATTTTCTTAATGGGTTGGTTTCAGAACAATGTAGATTGTGTTCTTTCCATGAGATTTATTGGTAGTCACATATTCATATGTTATAATTATTTCTGACACAGGGTTACACAAATCAGTTATTTATGAATAATTTACTATTATCTTTATAATATTAAACCTTTAATTTGCTGATATTCTGTTTGAGGGCCAAACAAATGAAAGTCACTAATAAGTGTTTGCATTTGACATCTGTATACTGTACTTTTTAGCATATCTCAAGTGTTTTAGTCTTTGCCTAATAGATCTCATTAAAAAACAGATATCAACCCCCAGACAGTTTGTCAAGACTAATATGAGTCCCCCTGGATCCAATTGACAATTTGTATGAGGCTTCATATGATAGTCTTTTCATAGGCTTATTTGATCCTCGGGCGTTAGTCACTGATTTATCTTATAACAACTCAGATAAGTTGTATAATATTGTATCGTGTTGGCCATTTTCATGGATTGTATTCTTTTTTTACACACTTAGAGCGCGTGTTGGCTGTAAATGATGTACCCAGCTTGCTGGGGGAGCAGTAACAATTGATTGACTACGTTTGAGAGCAGCATGGGAAGAACGTTACCATCCCCTAGCTGCAAACCGTTATTTAACACCAGTCTTGTTGAGGACTCTGTGCTGAAGGCTTTGAAAAATCTCAAGTACTTACTTAGCTCTTCACTGGCCTGACTTTATTTATTTATTTATTGTATGATTACGAATGTAGGTTTAAATAAGTTGTGTTCGGGGGGGTGGCGTAGGGGGGTGTATAAGAATATTTTTAAGAATCTTAATATGTGAAAAATTGCCAAAAAAATTTTTAAGGTCGACTTGCTTTAAAGGAGTTATGTTTTTGAGCCTCAAAAACAGAAATTATAAAATGTAATACCAGGGTACTTCATTTTAAATTATTTTTACTTTGTATTTTTTCACTCATATTTATTCCTGCCTGCCCTGCTCTCTCCCCTCAAATCTTTAGTGAGTGTATTTTTTTTTATTAAGGTATACTTAAATTTGCTAATAGCTCTTCATTGATGCCAAAATAATACTGAAGTCCTGAATCTGCTGTTTTCTGAAATGTTTTCAAAACTTGTTGGAATTGTGTTAGTAACCATCCAAATCCTTTTGGATCCCTTTTTTTTAAAAGCTGTGGTAGGTGCAAGAAGCACTGGAGGCCAGTTCATGAAAGTTTTAGTTTTTTAACTGTTCAATGTGTTCACAAAGAAATCATATTGATGAGCCTACTCAAAGTTTCTGCTCCTCACTGGCTCAATGACTGATCAGCCCTTTAAGGACTGACCTGTAGAAATATACGGGGGAACCCGAACCCCTGAACTGTGGTCATCTCTGTGTGTGGGTTTGGAACACAACACAAGCATGCAGCATCTTCCCTCTTAGTTTTATTTTACTTTATTTTGCTTGAAATGCTGAAGCACAGTCAAGATACAGAGTTCTGAGGCATTGAAATTGAGCCATCTTCACCATTTTGAATGTGCATGAAGAAGAAATCAACCGTTAGGAAAACTCAGTTCTTTGTCTGATGGCACATAAAATAAAATTGCCCTGGTTCTTAGAGCTTTAATATGAGAAAATTCATTTGTGCTTCATCATTTGCTGAGTCTTGTACAATTTTATGGTCTCAAATCACAGCACTGTGGACACTCAGGAGACTCCTCACTGTTTTATCTTATTAAACAATTTTGAAATCATTAATTTTTAATTAGCTTGGATGCAGGTTTTTTTATCGGTTCAATTGTGTGTGTGTGTGTGTGTGAACTAAACATTTTTAATTTCAACTACTGGCAAGAGTATTAGTCACATGAATGAGTCTGCACCGTGAAGTGTGCCTTATACAACACTCATACTTTCTTTGTAGATTCCGAAGTGTTACTTGCTTATCTATTCTAGTAGACCTCCTCCTCAGTTTATTAGCTGGGATTTTGAACAACAACCAAAAAGGATGTAAGCCCAAAGATATGTATGTGTAAGTCCTTCTCTGATTGAAAGTTCTAATTAAGTGAATCGGAGAAAATTAACTGAAATTAGCTGTCAGAAAGTCACATTTAAATGAGTGATGAGCTAGTCTGGCAGTAAACATTTAAATGATATAAATTGCCATTTAAGTGTATGGTTTAATGTTTGTCATGCATTAATGTGACATGAGACTGCAGTGACAATCAAGCAGCTTGCTCTAATTTGAACATATTTAGTGCTTTTGTGTGGAGTACACTGCACACAAATTAAGACAATTGCTGTTTTTATGTGTCACTTTAAACGGGTCCCCCCACACTCCCATCCCTATCCAAGGCCTAAGTTAATGAAACCAACGTTATCATTTTTGAATCAGTAGTTCTTGGATTTTTTAATTCATTTGTATTCACATCATTAAAATAGGAATTTACTTAAAGTTACCACAAGTTCTTATGTCAAGTAGAATATGAAGCAGCGTTGTATTATGCTATCTGTTTACTAGACGGTCAAATATAATGAATCTCATAAATGATATCAAAGCAATGAATTTCACAACTGAAAGCTGGCTGCTTTTCAAAAGCATGTTTTATCTCAAAGATACTTCAGAATCTGATAACTACCTAAAATTTTACTTATAGAAGTGTATGTTACATTTTGCACTATGTGATATGTTGTGGAGCCATATTAAGTGTCATTAAAGGAGATCTTATTTCAGTTTAGGGATCAGCGTCTCTCATAGACACTTATTCTAATGCAGTGATAGTCACTCCAGTGTGCATCTTTAAATTGTTAGGGAAATGTCTGTTGTCACTAGACGGTTTATACCAAACTGGTTGCTTGTGATAAAAGTCAATTTTGTTTTGAAACCAACAGATCTCTTAATGGATATTTGCAACATAGCAACTAGCCTCAACAAAAGTACATTGCATTCATTACTTTTTCCTCCATATAAGGATTGATTTCGGAGAGATAGATTACTGGCTATGTCTTGATATGCTTTTAATTAATGTTTAGTTTAAATTTGTTAGCATTTTGATTTTAACAATATTATCTTTTGGTGAACTGGCCTATTAAGCCCAACTTTTATGTGGGAATAATCATGAACAGTGTTAAGTGGTAAAAAGATGAATACTTTCTGAAATATCTCCAGTGTCTAAAAACCTGGTTTTTTTTTTTTTAAGATTTATTCATTTTCATTACAAAGTCAGATATACAGAGAGGAGGAGAGACAGAGAGGAAGATCTTCCGTCCGATGATTCCCTCCCCAAGTGAGCCGCAACGGCCGGTACTGTGCCGATCCGAAGCCGGGAACCAGGAGCCTCTTCCATGTCTCCCACACGGGTTCAGGGTCCCAAAGCTTTGCGCCATCCTTGACTGCTTTCCCAGGCCACAAGCAGGGAGCTGGATGGGAAGTGGAGCTGCTGGGATTAGAACCGGTGGCCATATGGGATCCCGGGGTGTTGAAGGCGAGGACTTTAGCCACTAGGCCACGCCGCCGGACCCAAAACCTGGTATTTTTAAATTAAATTTAGCAAATGTTTATTGGTTCCCACTGTGTTTTAGGTACTTTGCTACTAGCTGTTATTCTATAATTATGACTAGAAAGTGCATTTTTTGCCCAGCATCTTAACTGAATATTTGATTATGTTCCTTTGTTATTGATTGTCCACTATTATATGAAATAGCATCAAGTGTTTGGTCTGATTTGATAGTAATACTTAAAATAAAGATTCAGTATTTATAAGTCTCATATCCTCCACAGGATCTAATTTTTTAACCTAGCAACTCAGTCAAAATAATGAAATAATTTGGTTCCAGTGTTGTGGTAGATCACAAAGTATTTTAATTCTAAAATATATATGTATGTATTTCAAGTAGATAGTATAGTCTGTATGTTTCTACACTTGTTTTCCCAATATAGGCCTTATCTCTTTTCTTGGACACTTAAATGGAGTACCTATCAGGCCATGGGTTACAAATGTGACCTAGCTGGGCTGAGTTCTGGTCTTTACTGTGCTGGGTGGTCATATGGCTCAGTGATTGGCTCACCCACATTCTGTGCCAGAGTGCTTGGTTGAGTCCCTGCTGCTCCGCTTCCTATCCAGCTGCCTGCTGGTGCACCCCTGGGGCGGCAGCAAGGAATGGTCGAGTATGCCAGTACCATGCCATGTGGAAGACCCAAACTTGAGTCCCCAATTCCTGCCTTTGTCCTAACCCATCCTGACTGTTGTGAGCATTGGGGAAATGAGCCAAAAGATGAAAGATCTCTCTCTCTCTCTGTCTTTCTGTTACCCTGTCTTTCAATTACGTAAAATTAAAAACAAACAGAAGAGTTCGTCTATCACCTCACCCATTTAGTGGATTTGGGAGTGCACTAGTGAGAGCAAAAGTTGGAAATTTATCATGGCTTGGCAGCTTATGTCCCCTGAGGTTTACCTCATTAAATAAAGGTAGAATGATGACCTGCAAGCAGCTATTACAGTTTAGCATGCTAAGTACTAGTAGAAAATTTAAATTATAAATAAAGGAGAACAGATTTTGGTTGAAAATACCCTATGTCAGAAGAAAGTTTTATTTTTTAAAAGTCACGTCCACAATAAATTTAGGATTAAAATGTATTGCTTGCTGTAACTATAGCTCTGTTTTCAAGATAGAACTAAGCACGGTAATGTGGTTTACGCCCTCTTTCAGGCTCTGGAGAGTGAATTTGTTTCCTGCCAGCTTCACCAGTGGATTGATCTCATTTTTGGCTACAAGCAGCAAGGCCCGGAGGCCGTCCGAGCCCTCAATGTGTTCTATTACCTGACCTACGAAGGCGCTGTCAACCTGAATTCGATAACTGATCCAGTGTTGAGGGAGGTAAGTCAGCTGACTGAGAAACTTGAAATCTGGGATCCTGAAGGTTCTAGATAACATCTTCCGCTTCCATTCATTTGACTGAGGAGGAAACTTCAGTCTGAAACCAGATGGGCAAAGTGACTTAAACAGGATAGCTTGTCTATTAGTGACCTAGCTGAGATCTGAACCTAGGATTTTGTTCCAACGAAATGTTTGACTTGAAATAAGGATCAGTTTCAGCATGAGATCACTAGGGGATCAATAATCATATTTATAATCAAACTTTACGGTTTAAGAGGCTGCTGATTATTAGAGAATGAATTATTCTAAGAGATGTGGTTGTGAACATGCATCTATTTAAATGTGACAACATGTTTATATGTGAAATGCTAATACTTACTGGAAACTCGATGTATTTTGGCTTCTCTTTTTGTTCTGCACTGACCATTTTTTCCCTGCACACACCATTGGTTACCACAGGCATTTATACCATTTGCAGGGAAATTCAGATGAGAGCAGAAAGTTGTTCCCTGTACTCAGATCTGCTGGAGTTGATCACATCGTGAAAAATCACAATAAGTAAACAATGATAATGAACTGTGATAAATCCATGAAAGAGTTACGTGCATATTATTAATAAGCCCAGAGAATAGAAATGAGCCCCAGGCTGATGAGGGCTAGGTTTTCTGGGAGATAAGAGGCTGGTATGGGATGGGAAAAACCACTGGGTAAACCTAAGAGCCAAGATATCCACACAGGAAACTCAACAGAGAATAGGGACTGCAGCTGGAGTATGGCGTGTGTGTGTGTGTGTGTGTGTGTGTGTGTGTGTCTGTGATGAACCACAGATGGCAAATCAGAGACAAGAGTCAGATCATAAAAACCTTCAATACCATAAAAATAAAATTGTTTTGAAAGTTTGAAAGAGACAACACTGTCATTTGCTGGTTCACTCCCCAAATTCCCACAACTGCTGGAGCAAAAGCTGGGAGCTGGGACCCCCATCTGCATCTTCCACCTAAATGACTGGATTCCAGTCACTTGCCTCCAAGCTGCGTGATAGCAGGAAGCTGGAGTCACGTCAGGGCTGGCAATCGACACAAGGATTGATGAGGGACGTGACTTTCTCAATTGCTAATCTGAACACTGGTCCCCATAAAAAGTGGTTTTAACCTGCTTGTAAGACAGTGGCAAACTGTTGTAATATGACCACATGTATGTTTTAGAACCCATGTGGAAGAAGAGTAAACATGAGAAAACCTGGATGTACCCACTAGATTTTTTTTTTTTTTAACTAAGAAGCCATTGATGATTTTAGGGACAGTAGCTTAGAAAATACTAAGTTGATCAGTGAATAGGAGCTGGTGAAATGGAAAAGACAACAGAGAAAATAAATTGAGACAAGTTTTCATTCTTTTTTAAAAAATTATTGATTTATTTTGAAGGAGTTAGAGAGAATCTTGCATGCGCTGGTTTACTCCCCAGCTGGCTTCAATGGCCAGTGCTGAACCAGGTTGAATCCAGCAGCCAGTAGTTTCTTCCAGGTCTCACATGTAGTGGCAGGGGCCAAAACCCTTGGGCCATCCTCTGTAGCTTTTCTCAAGCTGTTAGTAGAGAGTTGGATCAGAAGTAGAGCACCCAGGACGCAAGCTAGCACCCACATGGGCTGCCTGTGTCTTTCCCCTCTGTCCCAATTTTGTCATAGTTGTGTTAGGAGTGTGTGTTAGGACACAGCCAGTGAAGCTGCTGTTTGGAATGCTGTTCTGTATCCTGGCTATTCCATTTCTGATCCAGCTTCTTACTGACGTATCCGGAAAGGCAGCACAGCATGGCTTAGGTGTTTGGGCCCTGTGTCCAGGGTGGGAGACTCAGAAGGAGTTCTGGGTTGGTGGCTTTGCAGCCTTGGCCATCACAAGCATTATTAATCAGCTGTTGGAAGACTCTGTCTCTCACTCTCTCTTTTATCTCTATAACTCTTTCCAGTAGATGAAAAACATTCATAAACAGAAAAAAAAAACTTTAAAAAATATTTTTATCCAAATAAGCCTGCAAATGATAGAATTCTCTCATGTGGTATGTATAAGGTAATGAATCATTTTTAATATGTTCAAAGCTAGTACAAGCACTACCTCTATCTTAGAACATTCTGATCGCATTAAAAAAAGTCTTTGTCCTCATTAGCAGTCACTCAAAGGGGGCATATATTTATTTCTAACTGAGTAGATATTTGACTGCATTTCTGTGTTCATTGAAAAGCCCCAAAAGGAGGGAGGCATGTGAGACACACTGGAGAGAAAGCATGTAATGGTCTATCAAACGCCCTAAGGAAGTGGAAAGGAACAAAACCCAGAGCCCAGAGATAAGCCCTGGACAGGAGGGAATGATACCGCCCTGTCTGAGCCTGGACAGCACAGGGTTAGTACAGGACTCCGACTCAGATAAGTCGTTGTGTGCGGATGAACTGGAAAGGCAACCAGATTACCACTGCATGGCTTTGTACAAGGATGCAGTAACATTTGTAGAAATACCTCGAATAGTTATATATGCATCACGGGTCCTACTTGATGATTCTTATTCCTCTTCTGTGGTTTCTTTCTTTCTTTCTTTTTTGCTTTTTGTTTTTTGTTTGTCTTTATTTTCGACAGTAGGAGAATGTGGACAAAGAGTTGAAAAGAGGTGTGTGTGTGCGTCTGTATGTGTGTGTGGAGAGATGGGGAGAGACAGACAGACACTGACAGGGTTGTAACATGGAAGTACAGTGAAATGCATGAAAAAAAGGTGAGAGTAGAAGGGAGTGTGATGAAACGGTTAAGGGGGTGTTGTTGAAATGATGAAGTGGGGATCTAGGCTGAGATGACTGGTAAAGAAGGCAGGAAGGAGCTGATACACTAAGAGGTGTTACTCTCTCGTTCATTATGTGCTCAATAGTCCTTTTGTTCAAGGTGCTAAAAGAACAGAGATGCTGAACAGATAGACTCCGTCTGTTCCTCAAGGAACTCACCTTCTAACAGGTTCTGTGAAAAGGCAGACACTAACTTTTTGAGTTCTTAGCTTGGCTATATGTTCTTAGTTCTTAATATTGCTTTATGTTACGAAGAGAATAAAGATGGGTAAGATGCTACGAGGTGACTTGGAAGTGGAGATAGACTTTCAGAGTGAGTGGTCACAGACTTGGCTCTGCCTTCATAAACAGTTTCTGTTGTGACTTAGGGCTGGGCTGGAGCCATGCAGTGGCACTCAGGGAGGCCGTTCTCACCACCCAGCCCAGGGCCTGTGCCTGCAGCACCCAGCCCAGGACGGCTTCCAAGTGCAGTCCGGCCACAGGCCTCCTGCTTGCAGGAAAGAATTCACTCTAGCCATCTGCTGCTTTGCTCCTCATCCCCAGGCCACTTCGATTTTTTTTTCAGATCTTGTTGCAATAATGTGCTTTAACATCACTAATGATAGTGCATTGATGGGTGGGCATGGCATGATGGCTAGATTACCACTTGGCATGCCCTCGTTCCATACCAGAGTGCCTGCATTGAGTCCTGGCTCCATTGCTTCCCTTGAGTCTCTTCTACCTATATTGGAGACCCAGACTGAGTTCCAGGCTCCTGGCTTCAGCCTGCCCCTGCTATGGCTATTGTGGCCATTTAAGGGTGTGGACTGGCAGATGAGAAATATCTCTCTGTTTATCTCTCTAGCATTCTCTCTCTCTCTTTTTTTTAAGATTTATTTTATTTTTATTGGAAAGGCGGATATACAGAGAGGAGAGACAGAGAGGAAGATCTTCCGTCCGATGATTCACTCCCCAAGTGAGCACAACGGGCCGATACTATGCCGATCCGAAGCCAGGAGCCTCTTCCGGGTCTCCCACACGGGTGCAGGGTCCCAAAGCTTTGGGCCATCCTCAACTGCTTTCCCGGGCCACAGGCAGGGAGCTGGATGGGAAGTGGGGCTGCCGGGATTAGAACTGGCGCCCATATGGGATCCCGGGCATGCAAGGTGAGGACCTTAACCACTATGCCATCGCGCCGGGCCCCTCTCTCTCTCTTTCAATCTCTTTCCCTCTTTGCCTTTCAAATAAAATGAAAATAAATAACAAATATCTTAAAATGAGAAGCTGTATATCCATGGGACACGGATCTCACAAATAGTATCTTCGCCTCTTTGCTAGGATGCCACCCCAAGACTTAAATTAAACCATTATGTACACAAATTCTTAGTAATAGTAGCAAGATATATTTTGTCTTTATAGCATCAAAAGCAACCTAGATGAAGTTCTGCTAAGTTGCTGTACAACTACATACTTCTGTCCTCAACTATAACACTAAGTTCAATTCAGATTACTTCTCTGTTGACACAAAAGCAGAGTCAAGCCGTCGTTGCACACGTCATGTATTCGCCTGCTTTTTGGGAAAAGCTCTCTTTCTCTTGAGAAATTTTCCATTGTTGAGTGAATGGTTGTTAGTACATGTGGCATAGTAAGTGATCATAAAAATGATCTCTCTATAAAAACAGCACTAAACGACAGAAATAATAACCATAAGAGGAGAAAGAGTAATCAGAGTAACAGCCTGCAAGCACATTAAACTTTTATGTTGTTTTTAATTTTTAGAAAACAGCTGGTTTAACCATGCACAACTCTGTCTGCATTTACATGTATCAGACAACAAAGAATTTTTTAAGCAAATATGATGATCCTTTTTCAAATGCCTTGTGACCCTAACTTAAGGATATATTCTCAACTTTAGCTCCTTATTCTAACAGACTTGTCTCTCTTTTAAAAAAGATTTATTTTATTTTACTTGAAAGAGTTAGAGAGAGAGAAAAACATTTTATTGTGCTGCTTTACTCCCCAAAAGGATGCAAAGGCCAGAGCTGGACCCATCAGAAGCCAGGAGTCTGGAACTTCTTCTAGGTTCCCCATGGAGGTACAGGAGCCCAAGGCAGTGGGCCATCCTCCACTGCTTTCCCAGCTCAGTAGTAGGGAGCTGATTGGAAGTGGAACTGCTAGGACATGAACCAGATCCCATATG